CAGCAGAGGAGGGCAGTTGGGGGCCATCAGGCCTGCAGGGGCACGGGCAGATGGGGGCGATCAGGCCAGCAGGGGAGCCGTTAGATGTCAATCAGGCTGGCAGGCAGAAGTGGTTAGGGGGCGATCAGGCTGGCAAGCAGGCGAGTGGTTAGGAGCCAGCAGTCTTGGATTGTGAGTCAGACATCCCCCAAGGGGTCCCAGATTGGAGAGGGTGCAGGCTGGACTGAGAGACACCCACCTCCAGTGCACAAATTTCATGCACCGGGCCTCTAGTCAATAATAACCTTAAACGTAAATGGATTAAATGTGTCAATCAAAAGACATAGGGTAGCTGAATGAATACAAAATCATGACCCAACTATATGCTGTCTACAAGAGACCCACTTAGAACAAAAGACTCACACAGGATGAAAGCGAAAGGATGGGAAATTTTTTTCCATGCAAATGGAAACATAAAAAACTGGGGTAGTAATACTCATATCTGACAAAATAGACTTCAAAATGAAGGCCATCACAAGACACAACAAAGGTCACTACATAATACTAAAAGGGATCGATTTAACAAGAGAGTATAACCCAGGCAAACATATATGCACCCAATATAGGGCCACCTAAATATATTATAAACAAAACAAAACAAAAACTTCTAAAGGACTTTAATGGAGAGATTGACAGCAAAACTGTCATAGTAGGGGACTTTAACACGCTGCTGACTTCACCAGATAGATCTTCTAGACCAGTGGTCTGCAAACTCATTAGTCAACAGAGCCAAATATCAACAGCACAACGATTGAAATTTCTTTTGAGAGCCAAATTTTTTAAACTTAAACTATATAGGTAGGTACATTGTTATTAACTTAATTAGGGTACTCCTAAGGCTTAGGAAGAGCCACATTCAAGGGGCCAAAGAGCCGCATGTGGCTCGCGAGCCCCAGTTTGCCGACCACGGTTCTAGACAAAAATTAGCAAGGAAACAGTGACTCTAAATAACACACTGGATCAGATGGATTTAACTGACATTTGTAGAACATTTCACCCCAAAGCTGCACAATATACATTCTTCTCAAGTGCACATGGATCATTCACAAAGATAGACCACATGTTAGGACATAAAACAAGTCTCTACAAGTTCAAGAAGATTGAAATTATATCAAGCATCTTTTCAGATCACAATGAAATGAAATTAGAAATCAACTACAGTAAAAAACACAAAAAACATTCAAACACATGGAGGCTAAATAATGTTATTAACCAATGAATGGGTTACCAATGAGATCAAAAAAGAAATTAAAAAATTCCTGGAAATAAGTGAAAGTAAACACACAACAACCCAAATCTCTGGGACACAGCTAAAGCAGTCCTGAAATGCGCTACAAGCCTACCTAAAAAAAATAAGCATGGAGGGAACTGGAGAGTATTATGCTAAGTGAAATAACTGAGTCAGAGAAAGACAAGTATCACATGATCTCACTCATATATGGAATCTAAAGAACAAAATAAACTGATGAACAAAATAGATCCAGAGACATAGAAGCATGGGACAGACTGCAGAATCTTAGAGGGAGGGGGTGGTGGTGGGAAGAGATCAACCAAAGAACTTTTATGCATATATGCATAATCCATGGACACAGACAATTGGGTAGTGAAGGCCTGAGGTGGGGGATGGGGGCGGGCTAGAAGGGGTCAATGGGAGAAAAAGGGGGTTATATATAATACTTTCAATAATAAAGATTTAATTTTTAAAAATGGAAAATTATAATCCAATGAATCTACTTCTGGGTATATATCCAAAGAAACCTTAAACACTAAATGGAAAGAATATATGCACATGCACCCCTGTGTAACAGCCAAGATTCTGAAGCAGCACAAGTGTCCATCAGTAGATGAGTGGATAAAAATGCTGTGGTACAATTACACAATGGAATACTAGGAGGCTACAAAAATGAAGGAAATCTTACCCTTAGCAACAGCATCGATGGGCCTGGAGAACATTATGCTAAGTGAAATAAGTTAATTACTGAAAGACATATACCATATAAGCGAAATCTAATAGACAAAATAAACTAACAAACAGAAGAGAAACAGACTCATAGATAGAGAGCAAACTGCTATCAGAGGGGTGACAGGTTTTAGGTAGGGAGAAAAAGGTGAAGGGATTAACTAAAAAACAAACAAAACTTAAAAACCTTATAGACACCGACAATAGTATGGTGATTACCAAAAGGGAAAGGGAGTGGGGGTAAGTAGAAGAGGTTGAGAGGTTGTATGGGGGATAAATGGTGACAGAAGGAGACTTGACTTGGGGTGTGAACACATAATATACAGATGATGTATTATAGAATTGTATACCTGAAACCTATACAATTTTATTAACCAATGTCACCCCAATAAATTTAATTAAAGAAAAATACACATTTAAAAAAGGGTAAAGAGTCTTTTGAGTAAGGTAATATGTGTCTGAGGTATGAAGATGTGGGCTCTCTGCACTGGAAAGTGATCCACTAACAGTGGTTCTCAACCTTGGCTGCACATTAGAATCACCTGGGAATCTTTTTAAAATCCTGATTTCTGGGCCTCATCCTCCGGAAATTCTGTTTCTTTGTGATGGGGTGGGGCCACAACATTAGTAACAAAGAAACAGAATTTCCGGAGGATGAGGCCCAGAAATCAGGATTTTAAAAAGATTCCCAGGTGATTCTAATGTGCAGCCAAGGTTGAGAACCACTGCACTAACACAAATGATCAGTTCAAAATTCTGTAATAAATATGATGCAGGTGGGTCAGGCAATCAAACACCTGACACTTCCATCTTCTGAAAACCAAAGAACAATCAGGGAGATGGGCAGCACAAAACGTTAGTGTATAGTCACCTCCTTCCAATCATGAAGGGAGATTTTCAGAAAAACTCCTTCCAATAAGCACTGGTTCTGCCTAACACTTTAAAGACAATGAGCTCTGCTAGAAAACACAACTCCAACACTGGAATCACTGTAGCCACACCCTCTGTTATCAGGCCAACAATTAAAGTGGTGATATTAACACAAGAGTAAGAACTTGATAACCATGTATCTATCAAGATTTACAAAGCATTATTTTGAAAATTTTAAAAATAACTACCAATGCTATAAAATACTGCATAATTTAGAGACACACCACTTTTAAATCCTTGAGAACCTTGTAATTCCTCAATACTTGCTTATAATTATGATTAATAATGATAACCATCTTAATTTCCTACATGAAGTAAATTAAGCACTAATAAAAATGTAATTGTATTAATGAAAATTCCAATTTTTGAAATCCTGACGTTGTTAGTTTCTGGTGCTATGATAACTTATGTTTGAAAAGATTAACTGAAAGGGTGAGCTCTGTAGCTAGAAGAGATGAATGCATGTCAAATACAATGGGGGAGTTTGAACGCTGAAAGCCAGCTCCAGCCGATTAGAACCTCTTCGCCTCACTAGAGAAAGCAGGGCTTCAACAAATTATGGAAACTAAAGCTAAGATGCAATTAAATATATAATCAAGCAAAAATGATCATTTTACCTTTTAATGATGACAGGTAAAGTTGATATTTCTCTCCACCACATTTTATTCTCTGACAAAGTTCAGGCAGCAGTTTTTTCCACCACAAAATCTATCTTAGGAAAAAATGAATAAATTTTAAGTTTGCTGCATTTTACATTAAGATTTCCAAAAAGAATGAGAAGATCGTGCAGGAAAGTACTGGACCAAAATGCATCATTTTGGTTAAGGTGGCAACTTTGTTATAACAGAAGTTGTAGCAGCAGCCAGTCTTCTGGTTTAAACTATAACATGGAAGTCAGATTTGTAGCATGAAAATCTAATAGTATGTACACTGTGCATAAGTACATAGCCATTTTCACGAAGAAACATAGACATGTCCTGGATTATGTCTGAGGTGGCAAGAAGGAAGGAAGGAAGAAAATAAAAAGGACTAAAGTCTAGATCTCTAATTTCTAAACTAAAGACCATGTAGCCCAAAAAATATTTTCCCATTATCATTAAGTTTCCCAAATCTTCAGAAATAGCCTACTTCATCTTCAAATGAGTGATTTTTAATGAAGATAACATACCATCACCATACATTTTAATAGCCCCTAACAGTACTCAAAACAGACAGCATGTTAATATATCTGCTCATTTGACCTGCACAGTCCTATGAAGCTGGACTGGCATTAATCTGTCCCCATTTTGCAGATGATCAAATCTGATTATCACTGATCTAGAAAATGTAATCTGAAAAGCATACCCGATTCTCTTCTTTCAGTTCATGATTAGCATATGGAACGACCGCCTCTGGGCACCTCTCTAGCAGTGTGTCTATGCACTGCTCATACTCTTTCAGACGTGTCCGGCACAGAACCTGGACACTGAGGCCAGCAACAGTGTCTTCTGAGAGAGGCTCCAAGAATGGAACAATGGAAGCTATGTCAAATGAAGGACCACATATAAGAGACTATGAACAAAAAAGTGAAAGGTTATGGAATGAGGCACCCCAAAATCTAGAGCACAACATATGAGAGTAAAATTTTTTTTAAGAAAAAGAAGAATGCAATTTTAGAGCACACATATATGATACTCATTAAGTTTACGTGAAGTATTAAATAATATTTAACCACCTCTAGTTTGAAGAATAACAATCTATTTGATAGAAAGCAATCATTTAAAAAAATAACATATTTTATTTATTTTGCAAGGACTGCATTTTAAAACTAATGGGAATGCTTTAGGGACTCCATCCTAAGGAGATAGTCAACATCATGGTAAAAGATTTATATCCAATGATGTTCACCACAAGAATATTTATAATACTGAAAAAGTAGGAGGAACCTAAATGTTAAACAAAAAGGGATAAGTAAATTATGGTATGTCTGTATGATGGTATTATATAGCCACCAAAATTGTTTTTGAAGGCCATTTAATGACAAAATACTCATGATAAAATGAGAGTAAAAACATCTTAATACAAAATTATATTCAGAGCACGATCAGTTTCATAAAATCTTCACAGGTACATAAACATATAGAAATGCCTTTGGGAGAGCATAGAATTTGAGATAGCGATCAGCTCAATGAACGGGAGGACAAAGCCTACTTGTGTCTTTTTCCTATATTTTCCAAAGTTTCTATAATAAGCATGCACTACACATATTACCAAAGTAAAATTTAACATTTAAAAAAACTAACGCAACTGTTAAGAACCTAATAATTTGTATCAACACCATTTGCCACAAGCTGAATAAAGAGCAGGTACTATTTCAGTATTCAGAACTGTAACCAATATTTAACTTTTAAGCAAACTACAAATACAGTTGACCCTTAGTAATGTGGATTTGAACTGCATGGGTCCACGTATATGCAGATTTTTTCAAGTTACCTACACAGTTCAAACCCATCATTAAAGAGTCAACTGGCAGTGCTGAGGGCCGACTCAAGTTACATATGAATTTTCCATTGTGCGGTCAGCTGGTGCTCCCAACACCCATGATGCTCAAGGGCCAACTGTCCTACTGTTTTGTTTTATTTAACTGTAATATTTTTTATTCTACCACCTTTCTTCTGAATAAAGATGAGAAGATCATATACTGATTTTCTTCTTCCTGTATCCTTTTTGCTACAGCTTCTCAGGCTCACAGAAGGATATAGAATGTGAACTATCTATTTATATAGTCAGTGTGCTTATTTTATTCCAATCTCTACCAAGGAATGGCTAGGAGAATAAGGTCGATCCCTTTCCTTCCTGCAAGTTTAATAATCATCTTCATCTGAATAATTTCCTGGTAGTAAGATAGCAAACACAAAATAAGGTGATAACTTGCCACTCATAGATCTCCCAACATAAAAGATTATTTCTATATCAGAAGGAGCAAGGCATGGTTAAAATGCAATTAGTCAAAGCTTGGTACAAGATGATTACTCATGAACTTTTCCTTAATTTTATCCATATCATCAAGAAGTTTAAAAGTAAAATACACCAGAAAACACATATATTACTGAATTAAAAAATGGTCCAAAGGTTACTACTGCCCTTTAAAATACTCTCAGTGCTGTCTGCTTCTTAGCAGACTGCTCTATTGTTCTTTCAAAATAGGAAGTGGACTCCTCTCCACCCCAGCACAGGTACCATTTACTCCCTTCTCTATTTTAGATCCCTTGCCCTCAGCCGGCTCTGCAGGGCTGGAATCCAGACTTTCTGGGGCTCCTCTACCTACTCAATCAACTGCTGCTCTAAAGGTGAGATGTTCAGCAAGGAAGTGGGAGAGGGGGCCATGACAATTTTGGCAAAGGGCAGGGCATTTACTACTTACTGTGTCATTTCAGACAGCAGCTTTTTGACATGTAGGTGATTTCTATATTGTTTTTATTTTATTTTTGCAAAAATGTACTGTCACAGTGACTGAGGACAAGAGACACATTAAATTTGTGTGGTGGTGGTAGGTGGGGGTGGAGGGAGTCATACAATTTTGAGAAACCTCTCCGGGTGATCCTGAACCTCCCCATTCTTCTAGGTGAGAACCACATAAAATCTTCTTGTTTCTTGAGAGTTATTTTGTTCTTAATAACTAAGACTAATTGACCCACAGATAATCTAGAAAGAGATATAATTAGGAAAGTGACTTAGAGATGTTTAGGCTGACTACATTTCTATCCTTTAATAGCAAAGACTCCTTTTTAAACCTCTATATTATACTTTTTCAAGCAGTGATTACAAATATGCTTTATCAGGTGAGATTTAATAGCATTTGTTACAATTATGATGTTAAATAGGTGATTAGTGCACATGTTCCAGGAGAGCAAGGCCCTGCCTGCCTGGTCCCATGTTGTACAAATTTACAGTATATGTTCAAGGAATATCTGTGGAATGAACAAGCCTGAGGCTCAGTAGCCTCTACATCATAAGGGTACTAAAAATGAGAACCAACAAGACTCTTCTCTGGTGATTTTTTAAGAATGTAAATAACTCCATTTCTGGAGACAACACAGAGGCTATCCAAGCAATACTGCCTGCTGAGCTTCCCTCCCAACCTCCATCCCCAGTTTTGGTTTCCATAAGCAATAACCACACTTATACCTGTTCCCAAGGAAAATGAGGAGTTGCAAACTCAAAAAACTAAGGAAGCCAAAAGGCAGCTGGGTGTAAGGAAACTGAATACCACAGGCTCAGTGTCGACTCTAGACCAAAAACTGTAGCGGCAAGACAGCCAGCCATTGGATGGCTCCAACCCGCAGTTCTTAGGCAATGAGGGCCCAGGGTTACTAGGTCTGCTGAATTTTTCAAGAGAAATGTGAAACTCAAAATTCTTAATTTTTATATGTTAGTAGATACACTGGGTGACCAAACAAAACAGATTTGTGGGTTCTATTTGATCCTTGGACCATTGAATCACATTAAACAAAATCATATCCACATCTAGCCCAGCCTGGTCCACCAAGTCAAATGTAGACTTTATTTCTCATTCTGGTCAAGACACTGTCACAGTCAGAATTCCTGCAGGATGATCTACACTCTCTGATCATACTTCTTCCTTTTTCTTTTTCTAATCCTTTCAGGAGCCAGATAAATTGGCTACTTTGAACTATTTCCTACAAAACAGACAGTAGTGGCTGGATTGGGCTAGAGGCCTAAAATGTATGAGTGAAGACTGAAAAAACATAAATCATACCAATAAAACTCTGCTAAACATTTGCCACATATGCACTTCACAAAGTGTTTTCAAGCACAAGCTGAAAAAGAGCCAAGACAGTCATGTGACTTGGGTGCTCATTTATGGTAACGAAAGCAGCCTTCCTGTGAGCAGTTTCAGGCAGAGGCAGGAGAGCACCTGAGCATGCCTGTGGATTTTCCCCTCAAAATTATACATTCTAGATTAACACAACATCTGAAGTCTTACCAAATTTATATCCTACATTAAATTTTAATATGTATACTCATTAAAAAGAGGCATTTTCATTTACCTGTAATTTGGAGAGATCTTCTGTATAATTTTTGTCAGCTAAGGAATCAGATGTTATTAAGACATTAACCCATGGATAGATTAAGCCATAATGGCTACAGGCGTTTATCTAAAATGTAAAAGAAATTAATATAAACATAATACAACAAAACAGATGTTCTTCATCCATGCTATATAGAACAAGCAATCACTAGTCCTCAGCCGTGTTGCAGAGTTAAGTATACACCTTCCTGGGAATGAGAAGGGAAGTCATTTAGAATCTATCCCCTGGGGAAAGTTTCAGTCTTCCTGCTTCTCACTGAACAAATCTGCACTGGATATTTCTTAATACTTTAAATTTTAAAATATTCCAAGGCGGCCCTTTCTAGCAAAAAAAGCAGTAGTGCTTTTAAGCTAATTATACTTAAAAAAAGTTAATAATATTGGAAATAATTTTTTATTTCTACTACTTCCCTTGGGAGACAAAATCTCTCTATACGTTCTCAAGATGATTCCCCTAAAAGCCCTCTTATTCAAAAAGTTGGTGTCTTTTCCAGTTAGCTGTGGCATTCATGAGAGGTAGAGAAACTGGTAGGGGAAAGGAGCAGGATGGGTAAAAGCAGTGGTGAGGGCTGCCATGAGGGCTACAGAACAGCTCTTATGTGTGCGGCTGACAGGACATAATGGGATCCTTTTCCACAGCCTCTCACGTGTAAGGGAGGTCAGCAGATGTCTTTTTTCCTGTTCTACATCATGGCCATCCTGGGAAGCACAGAAATGTTCTGGGAAAGCCCCTTCCCTCATACTTTAGCTACTGAGGTACCACTGCAAGTCAGGAACACAGAGGCAGTACAGGCACTCTTTAGAATACAAAATTATTTAAAATGTGGGCAACTTCACTCATGGAAAAGTTCGAAGTGTACTTTTAACTCCTGCTTAAAAAAGATATCTGGTGATAAAACTTAGGTTTAATTCAAAGCCATTCAAAATAAGAAGGTACATTATTGTAATATGTAATGTATTATTCCATTATCTTACCAGATCCTTTGATGTTCGCAATGGTATGGTGTCAGGGGGCTGCTTCTTTGATAATCTCCAGATGTATTGTGATGTGAGCTTGAAAAAGAGTTCCTGCAGTAGCACATCTGGGAGACATGCTATCAGCTGAGCTTCCCAAAAGTCTATTAAGAGCTGAGGAATCATATCTCCATCCTTACCACAGAGCACCTTGAACGTGTGAAACAAGCCCCCATATCACAGATAAATATAGTATTGATCGAGTTACAACTGGTCTGAACAGCATTCCATCATGTGGGGCATGCATTTCATAATCTATTGTTAACATTAGTGCCATGGCACAGCACACTTACACATTTTAACAGGAAACAAATTCGAGCGTGCATGGATGAAAATTTTCTACATATATTCTTTTATAAATTGGTTATGTCTAAGTTTGTTTTTTTCAATAAACAAATAAAAACTCACTTCTCTTATTCTGCTCCCTGGCCGCTACCAATTTTATCTAGAACAATTAATATTTGGAAATTGACAAACCTTAAAGAAGGAATCTGATTCTTCAATCCCAATCTTGTTGTTCTTCTGCAACCCCAGGATTGAAGCCACAAGCAACCCAGGCTGGGTCTCTTTCAAGTGAACTGCAAGCTCAGTTGGAACCATCTGTCCCTTCTTCTGTTGAATCAATAGCCGAGGTTCAAGAATAAAGCCACATACTAATTTCATCTAAAGATAAAAAATAAATTTAGGAACAAAATGTACATTGCATTCATCTTATAAATACATACTAGTGCATTCAAGATTCATGGTTAAGCTATTCATAATTTAATCTCAATTTTCTCTTTAACTATAAAGACCAGTTCTTACTTTAAGAACATCGGTTAACTATCTTCATAGAAGTTATTAATATTTAATTAAGCATCAAGATGCCCTATTTTTGGAGAAAGCTTTATATTTAAGTTTACTTGATTTAATAATAATATACCTTAAGTTTTTTCAAAATTATGGACAGAAAATTCATCTTTCTAGAATTCTACCTTTCAAAGCAAAGGACACCTCAATGTTGACTTGCTCTTCTCATTATGATAAAGCACTCCTGCTTTTCTTGTTTTAGAAACCAAAGTCGTACTGTGGGTGTTTGCCTATAGTCAGGCAGTAAAACAACAGTGTAGGAGCACAGATCTGTAGACTGCCTGTTTTAAATCCTAATTCTACACTTACCAGCATTGTCATCTTGAACAAGTTATTTAACCTTTCTTTGGCTTAGTTCCCTTATCTGTAGAATAAGTATAATAATAGCATCTACCTTATAGCATTGTTTCAAAAATTAGAGAACATATGCAAGGGACTAGGCCTAGGACATCGTTCAATTAACGTTGCCTCACAATTTCTTCCCTTAATAATTAACATTTTGCTCATGTCCCCAAATGGCCTCTCTTTCAAGGGAAAGCTACCTTTTCTTTGCTATATAATTCAAATGCCCAATCCTCCATATAGTCCTTTGTGATTTTCCCAGGTGCAGGCTATTTCTGCAACCACTGGACTCCTAAGACTCACAGCTAATATCCCACCTGCTGTACTTGAATACACTTCACTCTATTGTATTTCAGTAGGCAAGGCATTCCCTCATGCTGACGGTTGGCTCGGAAAGAGCCTATATGTTTCCCATGCTCTAAACGTACCTAAGTTGAAAGGTCTTTGGATACCCACTGCTGCCACTTATAATTCTTTTTATTTGCTAGATCCAAAGCTCAAGCATTCCCTCTGGGTCACTTCCTTTATAATGTTAAGTATATTTTCCTTTATGACTAAGAAAAAAATGAGCTAGACAGAAGCCAGAAGAAAGCTAAACACCTCAGGACTACCGGTCTTATTTCAGCCTGCTGTTAATACCAGGCAGGTCACCGTACCTCTGAATGGCTTTTCACTTCTTTTCTGTACATGTCAAGATCTCCCATTTTCAGAGCCATTGCTGCCTTGGTCAATGTCACTAAGATTGATGAAAACCCGGATGTATCCAGTTTCCTTAGATAGCTCATGGCAGTTAGAGGGTTAATATTCTTCATAGAAGGACTACAGAGGATATGGGGCAGCTGCTTTGGCTCAGCCACATGAAACATCTGAACCACTTTTACTGCTAATTCCTTCAGTGAATATGAATGAGAAATAAAAGGCCAGTCAGTCAACAGAAAGCAACAAAATCAGGGGGAAATAATGATACAAAGCTAAGATATAACATTTCAATTAAAATAAAATTATAGTATTATGTTTTGATTTAAAAAGACAGAGTTGATGATGATAATGTGGGAGAACTCAGATTATTTGAAGTAATTTCTTTGCTGAGTTAAAATGAAAAAGCAGTGAAAATATGTACCAAATTGTGGCCAGCACTTCTAACATTAAACAAGCATTCAGAAGAAGAAAATATTAGATTATATCACACTCAAAAGTCCATTATAAGAAATTACAGCTTAGTACAAAATATACTTAATGGGGTAATTTATTATAAATTTTCATTTCTCTCAAAATCTTAAAACGTTTTGTATCACAGTATCTAACTTTGCAAATCTGTATTCATCTTTTTAAAAATACATGAGGGCCCTAGCTCCGTGGTCGGCAAACTGCGGCTCATGAGCCACATGCGGCTCTTTGGCCTCTTGAGTGTGGCTCTTCCTAAGTCTTAGGAGTACCCTAATTAAGTTAATAACAATGTACCTACCTATATAGTTTAAGTTTAAAAAATTTGGCTCTCAAAAGAAATTTCAATCGTTGTGCTGTTGATATTTGGCTCTGTTGACTAATGAGTTTGCCGACCACTGCCTAGCTGGTATGGCTCAATTGGTTGGGCATTGTCCTGTACACTGGGGAGTCGCTGGTTTAATTCTGGGTCAGGGCACAAGCCTGGGTTGGGGGTTCAATCCCCAGTCAAGGTGAATACCAGAGGCAAGCAATCAATGTTTCTCTCTCACATCAATGTTCCTCTATCTCTAAAATCAATAAAAACCTATTTTTAAAAAGTAAAAATACACGAGGGGCTACAAATAATCCTTAATAATGTGTAAGGTCACTATGCTAGGATATTTTAAGTGAAGCTTTGGACACTTGGAGAGTAGGATGACTAGGGTTGTAAAAGGGCTGCAGACGAGAAGGAAGCAAAGCCCACATTTCTGTGTCAACTGTTACGTTGGGCAGGTCACTCAATCACAATGGATCACATTTCTCTGTCTATATAATGAGAAAGTATGATAAGATGATTTTAAGTTCCTTTCCAAGCTATAATTCTATAATAATTAATGAAAAAATGGGCACATTAGTCACCATTTTAGGAAAAGAAACTATTACCAAGGAAAAAATATTTGGAACTTGACTTCTTAATGGTATTACATAAAATAAATTGCTGAAATAAAAACTTAAAAATATTAGATATAACTAAATAGAAAACCATATTCACTTCACTTAATTCTTCATCCAGGTTCTCATAAAGTGAATGACTAATGTAAAAGATTAACCCCCTCTCATATTTCTGTGATCCATCCTCGACTGCCCAGTCCACTCGAGCCAAAACTTCAGCCATAGACAAACCAGACATCTTATAGTAGGGCAAGGCGAGGTGGGAATACTGGGTGTCAAGCCTGAAGAAAAGGAAGCAAAGAAAGCTCAGATTTGTCATTTTTAAGCCAAGGTATCTAATACACTTCATAATAAAACAGATTATGCTTTCCAGATGACATAATTCTCAAAATACTTTTCTACTCTCATTAGTAGTTGGAATAAGCTCCTAAGTTTTATTCTGCAAAGCCCTTCTAATTAATGTAGTTATTTTTGCTTGACCATAAAAAAAATAGAAAAAAATTCATTAAATGAATTTTATTTTCATAATGTGGCTCTAAAATAATGGTGTTTAGAGGTAGGAAAAGTCTGTTTTATTAATTTATAATCATGCCCCTCGGTCAAATAAGCCTTTGAAACAATCATATACAAAACAATTTATAAACATCATTCTCAGAAATAAAAATCATTATTCATACTAGTGTCCTTTTCTAGCATCATAAAAGCATTGACTACTAAGATTAAAAAACCACAGAACATCCAACTGGTATCTCTCCCTTAAAGCTAACAAGGAATAAGCTAGTAATACAGCTTTCACTGTCAGGGATTTTACTGGTCATGCCCCACAACCTCCCCATCTTGAGGCATGAAAAGAAACTTCCAATTCATAAATTAAGTGGTGGGAAACTCATGAACTTGAGACTCACTACTCACCTAATAAACTAACTACTTAAAGGCAGGTAACATTCATCTTTGTATCTCTAAGCTTAGCACAATACCTGTCACATTGTATGTGCTCAACAAATGCTTGTGAAATAAATAAATGAGCCACCTCCCCTCATGCGTACCCCCAATTATCAGGTAACTACCAGAGATGGAAAAGATAGCAAATACACCCAAAGTTCAAGACAGTTTCTCTAACAAGTTTCCAAAAAGCATCATCAACCTGCTGTAACAGTCTCCAAGGTGCCCACAGCTTTCTTTAAATGCTTCTAAAAGTTCTGCTTTTTCTCCAGGTTCCAGCTGACTGGCATCCATCAGGGCAGCTCTCACTAACAGATGGGCCTCACTAAGAAGGTGGATGCAGCTCTGGGTTTTTGCAGTCTTGTAGGTATTACTGTAGTCTACCTAAAACGAAAAAAGCAAACAGCTAATGTTGCAGCAGAAAAAACCCTAAAAGTTTCCCAGTTCTTAAGAATATTTATATATTTTGTTAATAAAATTAATATTTGGACACATTAAGTCCTAAAAAATGATTATTTATCATTCTGACAGGGACTAGCTAAGGTACCCCTCCCAATCTATGAGCCAGTTTTATACATACAATTGTAAATACTCCTTTACAGCGCTCATCATTAGAAAAAGTACAAATACTGTAATACTAATAATACTGTTAACTTAGTAATAAAGTTAATGAACCTCTGAAATAGTTCACTCTTTTTTAAAGTTCTATGATTTAAATATTTCTCAAATTCAGACTGAGTATCCCTTCTGTTAGTTTCAACTGGTGAACTGAAATCATATTACATCTATTTCTGTAACTTGCAGAGGGCTGATAAAAATTTATCACGGGCTATCTGAACCAATCTGTATCTGTACAGATTCTAGTAGGTAAATCATCTAGATGAAGTCTCAGATTTTCAATTAAACAAAACTTAAAAACCAGACCAAAGCTGATACAATCATCAGCATTAAAATGCCTGTGACCTGATGATCAAAATTAACATCACCAATTAGAGGCAGATGGATATCATCAAGGTCATACCCTGAGAAACACACTAAACACTACTGGATCACCTGTGCAATATTCTGGCCAGGAAGGATAAGCTAATCACGAAAAATTATAAAAGGTGGAAAAGGGAAAAAACATTTTTCAAAAATGTTTATGTCATAAAAAAAAAAAGGCTGTGAACATATTCCAGATTTTAAAGGGCTAAAGAGACAGGACAAATACAATACCTGATGCCAGAGTGGATCCTGTATCAGAGTAGGGAAATGCTATTAGACCATTAGGGTAACAGACAAAAATGAAATATGAACCAGAGATTAAAGTATCGCATCAGTGTTAAATGTACTGAAGCACATGACTGCCCTACTATACAAGCAAATATCCTGATTCTTAGGAAACATACACTGAAGTATTTCGCCTTAGACTGTGATCTATGCAATTTATTTTCCAAAGGATCAGAAAACAACATGTGTGTTTGTGTGTGTAGAAAGTGCAAGAGTGAGAGAGGGGGGGAGAGGGGGAGGGAGGAGAGAGAGAGAAGCAAGGGATATATACTCAGGGTAAATCTATGTAGGGAATATACAGGTTTTATTTGTACTATTCTTATTCTTGCAACTTTTCTGTAAGTTTGAAATTACATATTTCAAAATAAAGAGTTTAAAAAATGGCCAAGAATGAGTTGGCAGCTGTCACTTTTAGAAAAGGAATAAGAATGCCTAAAATAAAATAAAAAAGAATGCCCACTCTGGGGCCCTACTCACAGGACAATGCTACAGGTGCTGCAGTGCCCAGGGAAAACCTGCTGATATTTCAAAGAAGAATGAGACAGGGATAAATGATCTAAGATTTCTTTCAGCTCCATTTCTTTCATGGTTCTCTTTGCTAGGATTCAAAGTAAAGGTCAAAGGCTATTTATATTTAGATTGGTTAATCAATCCTCATAGGATGATGGTATGAATAATGGAGTCTTATTTTCATGAAGGGAATTTCTACTAGCTCCTCAAATGTCAGGAGTTGGAAAAATAAGAAGATGAAGAAAGATGTACACTGCACTGTCAGACAAAGCTGGTGGGTGTGGCATTCTGAATGTTAAGATAGAATCCATTTTTGCTCATCAATTCCACTTTATATTTCTACAAATAAGAATGAGAAGTCTGAAAGGAGTACCATTTCTTTATACAGTTGCACTGGTGAGATTGTATTCACAATATACAAATTCCACCCAGCCTCGGCTACAGGAGGTGTTTTGAGCTTTACACTGGTATCTTTTCTAGAACTAAAAGCAAAACAAAGGACAAGAACTGTAAGATAAGACATATTTAATAAATGGCAATTTTAAATGGTAAATATTTGATACCTAAATTAATATAACTATAAAATAATTTTCATTTAGTATTTTCTTCAGTGTTAACTATACAATCAATTTTTATAGAGTACTAGAGACTTGGTGCACAAATTCATGCACCAGTGGGGCCCCTCAGCCTGGCCTGCGCCCTCTCACAATCTGGGAGCCCTCGCGGGATGTTGGAGAGCCGGTTTCGGCTTGATCCCCACAGGCAAGGCCGAGGGACCCCACCTGTACATGACTCCATGCACCGGGCCTCTAGTATGCATATAAGACCTTTGGTTAATCTCTTCCCACCCTTACGGCTTCCCTCTGAGATTCATCAGTCTGTTCCATGTTTCCATGCCTGTGGTTTCCGCTCCTGCATTGACCGTCTGTCCCCTGGTGGTCGGTGAATGTCATAGTGACTGGTCAACCGGTCGACTGCCCTCTGGTGGTCAGTGCACGTCATAGCGAGCAGTTGAGCAGCCTTAGCATATCATTAGCATATTATTCTTTCATTGGTTGAACAGTCGACCGGATGACCAGTCACTTAGCATATTAGGCTTTTATTATATAGGACTAGAGGCCCGGTGCACAAAAATTTGTGCACTCGGGGGTAGGGGGGTCCCTCAGCCCGGCCTGTGCCCTCTCGCAGTCTGGGACCCCTTGAGGGTGACCACTTGCTGGCTTAGGCCTGCTCCCCGGGGGACTGGGCCTAAGCTGGCAATCAGACATCCCTCTGGCAGCCCGGCAGCCCTCTGGGGATGTCCACTTGCCAGCGGGGAGCAGACCTAAGCTGCAGTCGGACATCCTTAGCACTGCTGAGGAGGCAGGAGAGGCTCCCACCACCACCGCTGTACTGGCAGCTGTCAGCCTGGCTTGTGGCTGAGCAGAGCTCCCCGCTGTGAGAGCACACTGACCACCAGAGGGCAGCTCCTGCATTGAGCATCTGCCCCCTGGTGGTCAGTGTGTGTCATAGTGACCAGTCATTCCCAGTCTTTCTGCTGTTAGGGTCAGTTTGCATATTACCCTTTTACTATATAGGATAGAGGCCTGGTGTATGGGTGGGGGCCGGCTGGTTTGCCCTGAAGGGTGATCCGGATCAGGGTGTGGGTCCCGCTGTGGTGCCTGGCCAGCCTGGATAACAGGCTGATGGCTGTTTGCAGCTGGTCACACCCCCTTCAGGGTGGGGGTCCCCACTGGGGTGCCTGGCCAGCCTGGGTGAGGGGCTGAGGGCCGTTTTCAGGCTGGCAGGCGACTGAAGCTCCCGGCCTCTTTTTTTTTCTTTTTCTTTTATTTTGGGATTTATTTACCTTCTATAGCTGTCACTGGAGCTGAGAGCCGGCTCCAGCTCTGAGGCCCGGCTCCAGCTCTGAGGCCGTTGCCAGCTCAAAGCAGGTATCTGGGTTTGTTTAGCTTCTATAATTGAAACTCTGTTGCCATCACTGGCACTCTAAGCTCTGAGCCCGCTGGCGGCTGAAAGCAGGTTTCTGGGTTTGTTTAGCTTCTATAATTGCAACATTGTTGTATCTGGAGCTCAGAGCTGGGCCGCAGCAGGTGGGGAACCTTGGCTTCCTCCATCACTGGAGAAAGCAAGCCTCATGTTCACTTCAGCTATGTGGCTGCCGGCCGCCATCTTTGTTGGCAGTTAATTTGCATATCTCACTGATTAGCCAATGGGAAGGGTAGCGAAGTTACGGTTAATTACCATGTTTCTCTATTATTAGATAGGATTGTTTGTTCACAATGCTACACAGGCCTACAACATTTAATATTCTACAACTCATGAACTGATAAACCAATCGCTTCCACTTCATTCCACAAGTATTCTTAAATAGTCAATAAGCTCAAAGAACAGGAAAGAGCCCTCAAAAGGAAGGGTGACTTGGCTGTGAAAGTCCCTGTGCCCAGGATCTCTCCTGCAAGTGGCCTTCACAAGCCCAGCATGCCCTGCATCACAAATCTACGAAGCTCCAACAGAGCAACAAACAGCTGCTAGGAAAGTGCAGAAGACACATATAACTGCAAGTCTGCTTAAAGCACTAGCCTGTCTCTTGCTTTCACTATGTGATTCATTTTTCTGTGGTTTACAAACTTTTTGAAACATAGACCTTTGATTAAATGAATTTTCAAATAAATTAGAATTTCAAAAAATCATTTAAAATATATAATACCTTTGAGATCCAAAATGGCGGCCAACAGGACGGCAGTGAGCAAGATAGTATGAGTGAGAGAGCGAAAGGAGAGTGTGTGGGCGTGTGGGGAGTGTGTGTATCTGTGAGTGAGGGACAGTTATATTCCACAGGACTGTCAGGGACTAGCGGACCAAGCTCCCCTGGCTGGGTAGCCTCTATTACCACTGAAATATCTCCTGGGGAGGCTGGCTCTACAACAGAGACTGCGCCAAATTGAAGTGGACAGCAGCTGTGATTGGAAGCCCAGCCTTACCTTCACCCGTGGAGACCTCAGATACCACCCGGGACCCTACAGCCACAATGCCCAGGGACCAGCTGCCTCGGCTGTGAACCCATGAACACCAAGACTCCAACCTCCCTGGCTGCGGGCGCCTAAAAAGTTTGTCCATGGGGAGACAAGGCAGCAGCTGAATAAGCGCACATGTCCTGCACCTTCTCACAGAGCAGATAGAAGAAACAGCTGAATCAAATAACATCCACCCAGAATTGGCAAATTAAACACAGCTAGTGAGGCAATCTATGGACAGAAAGGTCAGAGATCGCCTGTAGAGAGGTAGGACTGGCGATCTGGGCTAGAGGAAGAAACGCACGCAGCAAGGACCAGAGTCTCAGAGGGAGACTGCGCTGCACCAAATCTGTGGCCCATAGGGTCAGTGTACCCCTCGAATGTGGAAGGGGTTCCACAGGGCTGCTGGAAGAGGGAGACTCTAGATCTAAGCCCACAGCCATGGGAGACTGTGCCCAGAAAGGCAGCCTAAAGTTCTATACCGGCCATGCAGTGCCAGGGGGAGAAAGATGCAGGGCAGTGCAGTTGCTTTGTCTTTTTGACTTCCTTGCTTTTCCTTGCTAAGCCCAGTACATAAGATCTTCCAATTAAAAACACTCACTGAGAATGCAGGAGAAGGTGGTTTTTGCGGAAACTGGGGATCAGAATAAGGAGAGATGAGCAGGAAACCAGCTCTGGGACAGTCCATCACTCCAACCCAGTCTTGAGTGCGGCAGGGAAAGGAAGAGTTTAAACTCTGGGTTGAGGGGCCATTTGGTCCCAAAACTAATACAGAAACACCGCCACCTAGGGGCTATGTCAGAAATAGACGCTTGTGTAAATACAACTGAAAGCAGGCAGAAAATCAAAGTGGGCAGATTGATCCCGCCTGCTTGAAACCAAGTTTGTGGCAACTGACACAGAGGAGCAGTGGATCACTGGGTACTTCCACTGCGCTGACTACCTGACAGGAAACTGAGACGTGGCATGCAGAACAATAGAGAGGGGTCTTAAACCAACCCCTATGGGTTATTGAAGCTACGCTGAAGCAAACAACACTTCACTAGTTCACTATATTTTACCTTTTACTTAAGAAACTAAAAACTTTTTTTTTCACTTTTTTATTATTTTTTACCATTTTTTAATTTTTTCTGGATTAGTGTTCTACATTCTATTTTTATTTTTTAATCATTATTTTACTGTTTTTCCTTTATGCCAACATTTTCGTCCTCACTTTTCCCTTTTTCATCCTGTTTCTTTTCTCTTGTTCCTGCTTTAGTTTTTCTCTATCCTTTCTTTTTAATCCCTGTTTAAAATTGATCTTCTTTATCTGCTTTATTGATTCATTACTATTACAGTAGTCTGTGTTGGCCTACTCATATATCTACTTTCCTCTCCCCTGCTCCAAGTCCATGCATACTTCTCTTTTTCTTCACTAGCCAATTTCCTTTCTTTCTTTCTTTCTTTCTTTCTTTCTTTCTTTCTTTCTTTCTTTCTTTCTTTCTTGTTGCTGTTTGTTTGTTAGTTTGGGTTTTTTTGTTTTTGTTTTTTTATTTTATGTTTTTGTTTTTCCACTCCTCCCTTGCTCTCTTCTTCTACTAATAGCTTAATTAGTTTTAATCACCAACTCAGTCCTATCTGCTCTCTATTCTCTTATTCCAAATATAGATGAATACATAAAGGGGAAAATTTTTATATATAAATTTTCTTTTATATATACATATCTTAATATATATTTTTTTCAATTATTATTTTTTCCAATTATTATTTTCTACTTTTTTTTTTTAGTATTTTGTTTTTTACTTTTCTTCTTATACAATCACTCAATTTCTACCTCCTCTATATTGAATCAGGGCCATTTTCACATTCATTCAATTCCTTGACCTTACCTTCGGAAAATAAGCTCTGCCTCTTCAGATTCAGCTTCCCTTCTGCTTTTCTGGGTGTTTGTTGTTTGTATTTTTTGGATTAGCTGTTGTTTTTTTGAAGTTTTCTCCCCATATACATATATTTTTTACCCCTTCTTTTATCTGCTTTTTCTTTTCTCTCTTACCTTTTTTCTTTTTCTCAATATCATTTTTGGGTTCTATTCTCTCCCCTAATTCTCTTTTCTTTGGTGGTCAACGGTATTGTGAATACATTCGTGTCTTCTGCCCTATGTGTTGTGTCTTGCCAAGTTGTATTTTGGGCCTTTAAGCCAACATGGTAGAGAGTGAGCCACATAACCAGACAGCCTGAGAGGAGCGAAAATGGGGAGACAAAGAAACAGCCCTCATATGAAAGAAAAGGAGGAATCACCGGAAAAGGAAGTAGACGAAATGGAAGCAAGCAATTTGTAAGAGATGGAGTTCAGAGCAATGGTCATAAGGACGTTGAAAAGGATGGAAGACAAATTCAACATGTGTAAGAACCAAGAGGAAGTGAAGGAGAACCAAGAAGAAATGAAGAAAGACATAGCTGAAATAAAGAACACAATAGAAAGCATCAAC